ACTGTCTAAAAGCTCTGCTTGGCACCGTTTGGACTTTGTTTTATTGAATTTACAAGCTTTCTTAAAACTCTTGCGACAGAAGAGACAGCTGTGTTAAAATAGAAAAGCAAGTATAAGTGCTGAAATTACGAAGATGCCATAATTTATTGACTGTTTACACGTAATTGTCTAGATCATTGCTTCTTGTATTATCACGTGTATTCTTCGCAGCACTTTGTTAATAGTGTTTCATTTTAGCTTTCCTGCGATTCCTTTATAGTTTAGTTATCTAAATTTCAGATGACCAATCTTTTTCCAAAAAACCGTTAGGACTTGACTGGCAGGTAAATTAAGAGGCAAGAGCGGATGGTAAATGAAAGAAAACAAGGTTTAAAGACTACCAAGTTTTTTTTTTTCATATTTGATATAATTTAATGTAATTATAGGAAGACAAAAATATTACTTTTATATTCGCAAAGCGGCTGTGCAATAGCTCCCTTGTTAGCGAGCTGAAAACCTTCAGATGTCAGTTGAACAAGCTGTTCTGAATTACTAGGGGGCGGCAATGGTTTCAGCGTGTATGGGCGCCCGTCTTCCCACACGTACCGATCCCCTTCGTATTTGAGTCCGATCCAGTAGCGCTTTCCCGGAGTGGCCAAACCTAAATTTACTCCTATCAGCGCTTCAGAATTGATAAAAAAGTTAAATTTACGTTTCTCTTACCTGTGTAAGGAAAAGAAGGTTATTCAGAATAGACTTACTAAGAAATTTGTGTAAAGACTTTTCCTCATATAATATAGCCAGTCGAGATTTGTCCATGAAACTGCAGTATTTCTTGGCATTATAATGATGATAATTTTCTTCGCCCTGGAAAATTGGGCTAAGATATATCTGTGGTATTAGTTTTTTACGTTTTAATAGACTTAAAACTTCTGACAAAAGTTTTACATATTGTTTTGAAGAGATGCGTGATTCGAAAAGCAGCTGATGAAATTATTTAAAGTCCTTACTGCTTTGTAGCACATCCCATCAAAGTAGGTCCACAGTGGACGACACAAGTGTTTCACGTCTGGCAAGTAAAAAACCATGATAAAATTTGGCGTATCACGAAGAAAGAAAAAAGTGGCTGCAGTACTGGAAAACAAAATGAACTAGAAGATTAACCTAATAGCAACAAACGGACTGAAAACTAAATGGTTTGAAGGTTGAAATTTCAAATTTTTTCAGAAGCATTTCATCCTAAACCAATAAAATACATTTATAAAATTTTTGTAACATAAATATGTTTGATCAAAAAAGTTTTTTGATTATGGTAACATTTATACTGTTATTCTTTTCATTTTTAGCAAAGTTTCTTTTTTTCAATTACAGCTTTTTTTTGTCTTTTTGTTTCGACACCACTCTGCGGCTCAAATTTTGTCGCATCTCTAACAGGCTCCAGAGCCTAATTTTGCAAAACCTGCTTTCTGGCTTGGTGAAACGTAGTGTAAAGGTAAGTCTTTCAAAACGTACTTTCTGGCGGTAAAGGAACCAAGAACGTTTCAACAGCCGGATCTACTGATAAGGTAGTTATATTAGAATCCGCTAAATGATACAAGAGCTCTTTTTCCACTGGACCAGTTGTGACATGAGGTCTTCCGCGCTTAATTGGGCTGTAAAAATATCCTAAAAGTATGATTTTTGGAGTATAAAACAACGTTTATTTTGTCTTTTTTTGAAATAACAATAATTAAAATTTTTTCAAGCACTTAATCCCTCTGTTATTATCGTATTTTTGAGAGAAGGTAAGCAATGAGTGTTGACTATTTTTGATGAACAGTTTTAGCAGAAGCAGCGAGATTATCTTGGGATATTAATAGATAAAAAAACGGGAAATTTTTATTAGAAAATAACCAAAACTGTCTCTAAAGCTGTGCTAAAACCTAAATTGCGATTTCAACTTGATGTTTTGGTGTAGTTAAAGAGTAATTCTGAGTTTTTGTAGTAGCATACGCAGAAAGCTAGAAGAACGTTAGTTGTCACTGTAACTGTTGTTTTTCTAGATTTTCTTAGCCAGTTCGTGTTTCTGACTCTCACTTCGCTTTACCACGTCATTTGAGTTGTGCAAAAAGTAAAACACAATAGGTTTGTCATGAAATACAACTAACGGATGTTTGGAGCAGTACGCCAGATAGGATTTTACATATAGCACAGTGGTTGAATTTAGGCTTTTTACATATCATTTTTCTAACAGTCTTCTCTTTGTGCTGTGAATTGTACATCAGAAACATTACAAAGTTTACATCTTTCCGCTGCCAAAAATTTCCTAGTTTTAATTACGCAAGTGATCAATTTGCTTCAAATAAATCTGAAGTTGCGAAATTCGCTCTTGCAAATTAATCTTTCGCCAGATTTTCAATTCTGCTAAATGACAGTGTTACAGGCCAAAAAAATGCTGACTAAGTGGTACTGAACACTGAATGTAGCGAAGGAAATGGTAGCGAGAAAAGCTTTTTGGATAATTTTATACTGTTCAGGCAGCTGCTTTAAATGGAGGGAATTGAGAGTCTGGTCATCAAAAGGCGAAAAAATCTAAAAATAATTTTGCATTCAATTCCTGATGTAAGGTATTCAATACAAAATTATGGATAGATTAGTATGATACACAAATGCTTTTAATAAATTTGATGGGACATTTCAAATTGCAAAAAGAATTATATTTGCTGTATAATTGCAGTTGATGCGGAAAATACAAAAATTTCTAATTATAGATCGGTTGTTATATGCTACTCTTTTCTCGCAGTTTGGTCATTAGTGATAGAAAATAAGCAACAAGAGTTTCTTTAAAGAATCACCGTGCAAGAAGATGTACTCTCTTATTGAGGTAAAAGATAAAAGGCGTCCATTGAAAGCATTATGGCAGTACTTTACCGAATTATCTAACGAAGTAGTCTCACCATTCTTTACCTAAAAGCTCAAAATTCATTGCGGAGGCGATTAATCACTGCAGTGTTGCTGTAGTCAAAATAAAATATTTGGCTTCTTTATTAAAATACAATCAATTCTTTTATATTTTTTTCAAAGAAGAGGAATTTAAAAGCTTACTCTGACATCAATTAAACAATAATGCCATTTTCCATAATTTTCGGCAATCACTTCAGAGCTGTAGATTTCATGAATTTTCTGTTCGGCATACCACGGGCACTTTCTAGAAGTATCTAGACCTGTAAATTACACTAATTACATTATGTCTGCATGACTTATGCTGTGAAAACAATTTTCTTTTTTCCGATTATTTTATAAGATCAGGTTTCAATGTATTGTTCTGTTACAATACCGATATTTGGATTTTATTGCAGTCTAAGTCTAGTGACTGAAAAACAGTTACTTTATGTATAAATTTTTGAGCAGTTTTAAAACAGTAACCTTTGTCGTGTTGAACAGTTGGTTGCAGATTCTGTTCTGCTTTACAACTTATTTTATTTCTTTTATTAAAGTGTTGCATTTAATAATCCTGTTCTTGTTCAGTTAGTACCTGGATTGCCTTAGAAAGTTAAAAAAAGTATCTGTGTTTTTGAAGCTAATTCTGACAAGTGAATCGTTTCTGCTTTAATTTCATCGTTTACAGGAGCTAAGTGTAGTAATAAGTTCCTGATATTTTTCCTGCCTTATTCAAATAGTTTACGCAAGATGTTGCCCATGACTGATCATTTACTGCATGACCTCCGCACACTAACTTTTAATGGTAGCGTTTATACAGCACCGTTATCATAACCTCTACTATGCATGAAGACTGCGTCAAGTGTTAAGAAATGTTATTTCCGGGAAGAACACCCAATAAAGTTTTGCTTGGTAACACAGCATTCCTAAGCAAAAAAAAATTATCATAAACTGGTGCTAAGCTTTAAAAATCCAATCACCTAATTTTACGCAGAAAAAAATTTGGAATCAAAAACTCTCTCCGACTTTGGTGTTAAAATTTTATTTGATCTCTTCTCAGAAAATTTTGACTTTTGTTTTCTTTTTTTTTTTCAAACAAGATTAAAAACTAATCATTTGGATGTCGTTTAATGAAAAATTTGTCAGTGTTACTATTTAATTTATTTTACGTTTTTTCACAAAAAATTAAGAGAGTTATACACGTATATATGTTCGCTTCTACAAGCAGTCAAAATTTTGCTGGTTTTTCTGTTGTTAGCAACAGTGATTGACACGGTGAAAGTTTACAAAAAAATGGTTTTTTTTGTTTTTCACCTAATTCCTTTCTCTTCTTTTTTAATTTTTGTCTGTGAAAAAAAACTTTAAAGTCTTATTCCAGATAAGAGCCTTGTTGAGAAGCAAACCAGCCAAATGAGAAATTTTTTTTTTGCTGTTTAAACACATTATTTTCTTTAATGCCCACTAAGGTACTCTTCGCCGACCACGTAGCAAACTAATTGTTTATCATCATCAAAAGTTGGATGTAGGAATAGACGTTTATTGTGCAAAAACATCAATTAACAAACTTTTTTTTTTTAAATATTTATTGCCTGTTTTCTAACTTGTTAAGAACGGTATGCAATTCTTCAATTTCTTGACATTTGAATTTTTACGTAAATAGACCAAAATATTAGTAGAATCCCTTCTTTGTAGATACCTTTAAACCTTGAAAAATTTTTTTTATTCTTTCTTGCATTAGATTCTCAAAAAATTTTTTGAATTTTAAGCTGATCACTGCAGAGAATTTTTTAAGATTATCATAGGATACAGACTGGAACCTTAGATCTGTAAAAGCATAAAAATATTTTCCTTAGGTTTTTGCAGAATATAAATTTGATATCTTTAGTCAAAAAAACGTAACTTTTTTTTCCTCTTCTAGTCAAAACATTTTTAATTTTATCCAAAGAAAAGAAAAACAGCATAGCTTAGATTTTCAAATGTAATTTTTTTTCACTTTTGTCATAAAAGTCGGTGATAAAGAAGAAGAACAAACACAATGATATGCTTTTATGTTGACGAATAAAAATAGGTAAAATTTGAGATTTTGGAGACACGTTTTTATTACTTGCAGAATTTGTTTCTTAACAGTTTACCGTACAGCTCATTTTGCAACTGCAATGGATGAACGAAAATGAAGGGTAAAATAAACGACAAAATAGCTTAAGTTATTTTTTTGAAAAAACTAATGTAAAGTTTTTGTTATCAGAAAGGTTGGTATCCAAATGACGATGATTTCAGAAAACGATAGTTTCAAAATACGATAATCAGATTCGATATTTTACACTGCAAATTGCGTAAGATCTTAAACCAGATTTTAAAAAATGTCATGGTTATGCAAGCACCTTTTTTTTTTTTTTTGTTTTCTGTGGTAATTTGCATTGTTTTTTTTTTATTTACAAAAGTTTTACTCTGCAATTAGTAAAGCACTTTGAATGGCAATAATAATTTAATTATTTTCATTTGAAAGTTGTAATATGATACATTTTAATGTAATAAAAATTGTTTATTTACTTTGTTGTCTTTTTTTTTTCTGGCAAACTGTAACTGAAAATTGGTTTTTTTTTTACACTACTCAAGTGTTTTTTTTACACTATAAGTATAGCATAAGATTTGTCACTTTTTGGCTTATTTTTTACAACAATTATTACTGGTTTTAAATAATTTTTTTTCCTTTTGAAATCTAAAATATGTAAAATAATCAATGAGAAAAATTAGACTAATATATCACAGAAAAAAATCTGTACAATTTTTGGTAAAATACTCAGATGTGCTTTTCAGTATGAATCTTAACTATTCAATTTTGTAATTAAAGACAGTATTTACAAAAAACTACAGCTATCATATTCTGTATTCTCATTAATGTCTTTTGAAGTCTTTGAAAACAGAAAAGCGTTTATAATTATAATAATTATAAATTAGAAGAAAAAAAATTTGATTTAGAAGGCGTACAAACTTAACAAAAATTTTTTGCTTTTACAAAATCAAACAATTTTTTTTTTTTTTTTTT